GTGTGTGTGTGTGTGTGTGTGTGTGTGTGTGTGTGTGTGTGTGTGTCGTGTTGTACAACAGGAATGTTCCTCATTGAGCAACTGAATGGGCCCGACTTAGCCGCCACACAAAAGACGGAATGACCCACGCAGTAATAAAGCCTGTTTGTGTGTGTGTGTGTGTGTGTGTGCGCGCGTACCCAGGCTGCTCTCCACTTTATACTTGTGTTATGTTGTTTGTTGTTTTTGAGATTTTTCAGTTGATTTTGAGCCGATTGCGAGTATTAATTGCCTTTCTTTAAGGTACATTTCTGTCAATCAACACAGTCCCTCAACATCTCTCTACAAATAAACAATGAATGGAGTCTTAACGGATGTGATGCTCTGTCGTTCATTCACCGTCTTTCGCTGATGTCAGTCTGAGAGCAGATTGTCAGAATTATTGGACCTCATGCAAGAACATTCTTCGTATTCTTGGCTTTACTTTCTCTTACTTCTTTTTCGTACGATGGGCTTGTACGAGTGTGCCGTTGCTATTGTTAGACTATATGAATACAATTAGAAGTATATAATCCTATAATTCAAATTGAAGAGACAAACAGGATAATTTCAACATAATTATGAAGTGTAATTTATATACACGGTGTTTTCATTCTCAAAATTTCGACAAAGTAAGAAATTCTAATCCAGTGGTGAAAAACTTAACAACAGGTCTGGCCCAGAAGAGAAGAGGAAATTCAAAATAGGAGAACATTGGGGAATAAGGAGAGTTTTGTACAAACTACTTCAGAACAATCTGTTCCTACGAGTGGTTCTCGCACGAGGCCCATTGTTCCAATTAGAAAATGTAAAGGTGCATTATGACACTAAGCTGTACATTGACACTTTCAGAAGGAATTGGATGCCTTACTGAGCTGCAAAATCATTAAGTGTGCATGTGTTTGTCCTGCAGGTAAAGGTGATGGCTTTGAGAGATGCGTGTCGGAGGCGGAGCTTCTGCTGGACCAGTCAGTGCGTCTGGAGCAGGCCGGCGAGGTTGCTTCCGTGCTGTCGGCTGTCAACGAAGCCGTCTGTAAGCTCCTCCTACTCCCCCCTTGCCACACATGCAGACACATTCAGTACCTCAGACCAAATAAACACTGTGAAAGAGGTCACCACACCCCCTGCCCACCAACCCTCTGCTTTGTTGCTCATGTCAACCAGAGCCAGCACAGTGGCCTGCTGATGACTGCCTGACATCAGCCAATGAGATTCCAATGTATTTGTGTCTCACTGAGGATTGCGCGCACACGCACACTTACACACACACACACACACACACACACACACACACACACAGCCCTGTTGGTGTTGTTTCTGCAGCACGACACACAAAAACCTGACAGCTGGTTAAAACAACGAAAACATGAAGAAATACAAAACTATGCTGAGACATTAACAGACAGATTGAAAAACATCAAATATTAGAAATCTAAGGGATCAAAAATAAAGACGAGATGAAGTTCTGTGAGTTGAGCTTTAGACGATCTTGATTCATCCATCTTGCCCGTCAGATCCACAACTTCACTTTACCAAGTTAATCTCTGGGAACACGGAGACATCATTAACTAGAAGTCCAGTGAGCAGTCGTACAGTTAGATCAACAAACTTCCACCTGCACAGCTGACCAATCTTTTATGAAGAAAAATTGCTGAATTTTTGGACACGGCCCCCCAATTGTGACGACTGAATGAAGGGGTTTCCAAAGCTGTTTAACCATTCAACAAGCAGTTCTGATTCTGCTCTGTATTACTGGTGCAACACGCTGGGTGAAGGCTGGCCGACACTAAAAGATTTTTCAAATCTTAACATATGTTGAAAATGTGAGAGACCCCACATATAACAACATGTAATGATACAGTTAACTGTTTTGTTCCTATAGTGTGTAGAGAGTATCGCGTTCCCCCCTCACAGCAGGATATCGGATCTTAAATATTGAACATGTTTAATATTGAGGATTGACTTCAGTGTAGATCGAGAGACGTTAAAAACACTCTTTAGAAATCTTTAGAACCATCAGAACATCATTGTCAGAAGGGGGAATCAGGGCCCAACGTCGGTTTGATTCTCGTGTAGCGTTTGAGTTCATTTTGGCCGACATGTTTCTTTATAATTTTGTTAATTTAACATTTTGTCTAAATGTAATTTCACCATTTCATCATTGAGAACCAAACCTGAGTCATTGATCTTTCTCATGCCCACCATACACACACACACACACACACACACACACACACACACACAGTCATCATGTCTAATATTTGATTTTCTGTCAGGTGTATATTTGCTTTTTAAGATTTTTGCATGAAATCATCACAAGTTATTTTCGACATCTTTCTTTTGTTTCCTCATTTATTCTTTCTTCTCTTTGTTTTTTTGTTTTTTTCTGTTTTGTATGTTCTGTTGACATGTTACCCAGCTGCAGCCAGACTGCAGCTGGTGGCAGCTGAGGGCGGAGCTAGTAGTCACAGCCGGCTGCAGCGCTGCATGAGGAGAGCCCGCAGCCTGCAGCAACGCATGCAACTCCAGCAGCAGCAGGACTCAGAGGCAATCAGACAGCAACCGCAGCAGCAACAGGAGGAGGGGCAGCAGCTGCAGGAACAGCCCAGGTACCACCTGTAGTCTGCTCAGCCAATCAGGAGTAGCATTAGCGCTCTGCAGCGTCACGTGTATAAAATATAAAATTCGTTCTCTGTTTTACAAACTGGTAAAGCATCCAAACAACGCTCATTTATAATGACATTTTAGAGATGCACTTATTAGCTTTCTTTCGGAGACTGAGATGATGGATTTCAACCTCATGTCTGTGTGTATCCATCCGCCCTGTACTCTAGTGCAGTGCCTCCTACTATAGTGCAGGTTACCACCTACGATTGGTGAGCACAGGTTCTGGTCTCAAAGTGGACTTGCAGTCTAGGGTGGCAGGAGCTGAATGTTCTTCTTCTGAAGAAGAACATACACCTGAGAGTCAGCGAGAGCAGAGGTACCACAGAGTTCTGGTTTTCGTCTCTGCCCAAGACTTCATGAAGCTTAACCCAGCCAGTGCAACAACTGTAATGAGACATATTCAAGAAGACTGATGCAATCTGACTGCAGCCAATCCCATTGAGCGTTCAGATGACACCTCAGATCGTCACGTTGTGGATGTTGTGGGAAAAAACACCAGCAATATGCAAAACTGAGTCAAAGGAATTAAACACCAAAGACGCACCTAATTAGTTTGATTTTAAATAGTGTAAAGTTTATTTGTAAGTGTTAATTATTTATGGTAATTAGTTAAAGTACTTTTATTGGACCTGGAACTTGTTCTTGGCTTTAAAGCCAATGCTTTATCTATTTATTTAAATGCTTTATCTTGTCATGTTAGTAAATAGGAGACTACAGCTGTGCAATCGTCTTTGCTGATGCATATTTTTGAAAAGGTGTGTCACTAAAAAGGAGCGGATACTATCACTACCTCAACCGGCATCAGCCCAAACTGACCAATCACAAATCTTTTTGTCTCCAGGTGGTATCTCTGTAGACACAATGTGAAGTTAGCTGTGGTGTATTCACGCATACCGACTGAAGCTACGCAGTAATGACATACAACCCCTTTTAAGATAATGAAATCAGCAGCATTCAGTATGGTGTTCTTTTTTCTATTCTGGTCCAACATTTTTAAGTTGTGACTGTAATGAACACTGCAGCCTGCAGGGGGCACTAGCAAGAAATAGAGTTGTTGTCGTGACCACTAGCTCATGTGAGTGTGAGCCATGGTGAGAGATTGTCGACACTCTCCAGGAAACAACCTCCGAAACACACACTGACACACACAACGAGCCCGAGCTCTCGAATGAAACCATCTGTTCCAAACACACTGCAGGCCAACACTTCCTCACCCGCCTCTCTCTCGCTCTCTCTCTCTCTCTCTCTCTGCAGTGAAAAGCCTCTCTCGCTCCAAATACTTTTGACAGAGAGACATGGCGTCCAGTCAGCTGCCAGTCAGGACCAACAGGCCCCGCCTCTCTCTCCCTGCCTTGTTAAGCCCCTCCCTCCCAAAACAAACTCAGTGTCTGACACCGCCTCCAGCGCCGGGGCCCCTACAGGTATACCCAGAGACAACAGCAGGACCGGAGACCCCTGCTTTCTCTTTGGGAAACCCCTCACCAACACCAAGTCCCTCCCTGCCCTGTGCGTGGACACCTGGGAGCAGAGCCCCCTGGGAGACTTGGCTCCACCCCCTCCATCTGAGGAGGCAGAGCATCCTGCCCAGTGGACCAGAACGTCCCCTGTCTCCATCCCAGCACAGGCCCTGCCCCCACCCAGGCCATATTCTCAAACCCCTTCACCTGTTGACACCAATGACAGGTGTCATCTGATGATGGAGGAGGCGCCTAATTCCACCCGACATCCACAGACCACGCCCCCTACCGCTAGCCCCAGGGTTGCCCCACTGCCATCGTCCTACCCAGTCAGGAACTGGTCCTGCTTACACCTGGACCCACGTGATGTTGTCGATTCTCCCGTTGACCCCCCAATCAGCTCCCCTCTTTACTCAACCCCAGACTCCCCTTCCAATGCCCTCCCTCCGCCGGCTGTGAGCTGGCCCGGCCCGCCCTCCTCTCCGCCCCCCAGTCAGGACTACAGAGCAGCCCTGCCTGTGGAGCGCTGGGCGGAAAACGTCAACAGATACTACGGCTCCCAGAATGCAACAGGAGGGGGAGAGGCGGTGCGTAGTGAGGAACTCTCGGAGCTCTCGGAGCTGGACTCTCTGTACCAGGCCAGTCTGCTGGCTCCCAGCATGCACCGGGGCAGTCGTGGAGTCAGTCCTCAACCAACCAACAACAAACCAGGTAGTTACTGCAGAAATACGTTAAGTTCAGCTCAGGCATCCAAACCTCCAGCAACAGGGGTTCATATTTTATATATTATGTTTTAAAGTAATATCTCAAGTTAACTTGATGTTCCTAATTGATGCTAAGCTATCGTCAAAAAAACTCAATACTAATAAAAGCAGGGGGATGATTTGTCAGGATTATTTCCCTGTGAGATCTGCAGCTACAGACTAAAGAAAAAAGTAATTCAGTGGTGGTGTCGCACTGCTAGAACACTTTTACTGTTAGTGCTGCATCCACTGTAGATAATAACATGTGTGTGTGTGTGTGTGTGTGCGTCTTAGGTGTGAGGAGAATGCTGTCAGGATCTGGACGGTCCAAAACACCAACGGCTGAGCTCGAGAAATACGCCTACAGAACACCCGTCACAACTCATAAGGTACAACTGACTGAGTGTGTGTGTGTGTGTGTGTGTGTGTGTGTGTGTGTGTGTGTGTCTGTGTGTGTGTGTGTATGGCAGTTTTACGACTGCTCCATTATCGCAGTTTCTTTTATTAATGTCTTAACATGCCTCTCTATGGTCTCGTTAGGGATTTGTGACTTAAGTCTAATTACATTTTAGGTCTTGCCGTTTTGTCGTTTTTCTTTCAAAGAGCAACGATAAACAAAAGGGAAACAAAACACACACTTACCAGACCTCGTAGCCCGCTGATCTGTGCTGCAGGCTAAAGGTTCCAGGCTACATCAGCTTCTGAAGCACACTCTGCTTTATGGCCTATTTTACTCTGAATGGGACCATGATTTACTAAATGAACGTCATGCTGTATTTAAGAAGACTTGAAACTAGAGATTGAGACAATAAACTCGGGTAGAATGTTAACTGAGGTAAATAAGTGAGGAGTAGAGTCATTGTTTTCATAGACTTCCATCAAATCTGACTTATTTTTGCAACTAGAGGAGTCTCCCCCTGTTGGCCATGAGAAACATGGAAGTTTAAGGTACTTATGCATTGGCTTCACTTTTCAAACCCGAAGGTTAACGCCTGACTGTAACACACCGCAATGTCCAACTGAACTGTGGGTAGTTGAGTTGCATTGTCGATAATGTAGGAGGAAGGTTCTGACGAGGAAGAAGAATGAATGGGGTTTAATTTTGTCGGTACTTATTTTCTGCTTTTTGGTTGTAATTGTTTATGGATGAATAAAATGAAGCCTTGATACCAGGAGGAAAATAATTATCTTGATAAAGTGAAGTTTGTAAAAATGTTATTCCCCGCTGCCCGCTTACCTCTGTGCAGTTGCCGTCAGGTGAAGATGAGAGCTACAGCGCAGCTAACCTTCGACGCATCGCCCGCAGCCTAAGTGGAAGCGGCATCGGGTCACGACCCCAAAACCTCAGCCCCTCCGACAGCTGTGTAAGTTACACACACAAACACACACTGTCGACTGATTTTCATTTAACATCCTGCTGCAGTGTTTGTACGATGTAACTGCAGCCTGGTTCATTTTCTGAGCAGCAAAACACATGTTAGACACTTAAAAAGGACCACTTATATACATTTGTCCACAGCAGTACATTGTTTTGTACAACTGCAAGTAGTGCTAAATGCTAAATATCAATCCGCCTGTCTACTGCTGGATTGCTGTACATGTTCATAAATGCCTCTACAGCAGTAAAACGCTTCTGTGTGAAACCCTGTGAACATATAAAACTCTGTACAGCAGCAGCCTCTGCTGCTCTACAGAACCTCTTTCTCTCAGACTGCCTCTTCTCAGTTGCCGCTGGCGTTCAGCCATCTTGTATTCAGCCCTCAGGAATCGCCTCGGGCCAGCGCATTAAAGATTGATCACTGATTTAGTTTTCCATTAAGCTTTTAACCTTGGCACTCGCTGCGAGGCGAAGCCGGCCAGATCTGAACCGACAACTGAGGTTTGACTCCAGATATCCAACTGTCAAATCCTCCGTCTGTGGGAGAAATCCTGATGTTTCACTTCAGCCGGAGGATTTTATTCCTCGGTGTTGGAGGGTCGATTGTATCTGTTAAAGGCCCACTGCAACATTGAACTCACATGGGGGGAGTATTAAACTAAAAACAAGGTGAACTCTGACCTGCAGTCAGTGAGCCTCATAAATGATTTAACCGCTGACATGAAGAAAAATCGGCTCTGTTTCTTTAATGCAGTTCTGAGCAGTTGAACGGAATTAAAGCCCTCACTTATCACCATTTACTGCTGATGCCACACAAATTGACCCGTCAGTTATCCGTCAGACCTGCTTTATAGTAACACCTTTACTGTTCTGGTTCACTCCAACCGCTCTCATTGCGCTGTGTTCTGAGAATTAAACAATAAAAAGCCAAAACAAAGGGGACAAATCAGTTATTGCAGGTTTGAAGTAAAAGAACTCCTCCTCACCTTTTTTCCATTTCTCAATAAAGAAACTTGCATCTTCGAGATACAAGGTTTTCACAGGTGTCTGGATTTTATTTTGTGCCATTTTTCACAGTTTTTCCCCATCATGTTAACTTGTTTACATTTTTTATTCCCTCCTCTATTTTTGTTAATTCCCCACCATCTTATTATTTACTTCTCTCCATCCTTTTGACGTCTGTTTTCACTTCTCATTCTATGTATTTTTTTCTTTTCTTCTTTTGTTTTATCGTCCTCCTTCTCGTCATCATCTTTATACCCTTTTATTTCTTACCTCATTTCTTACCTTCCTTTTTCCATGTTTTACTCCTCCATCTTTCTCCATCACATCTCCTCCTTATTATTCCTTTTCCCATTCTTTATTCTTCCTCCATCATCATTTTCTTTTATCATCTCTTTTTTTCCATCCTCTTTGCCCTGAAGGAGCCCCCCGTGCCCAGGCCCCCCCTCAGACACTCTTCCTCTTCCTCTTCCTCCTCCCTCCTCCGTCGCCCAAGCGCCTCCTCCCTGCATGTCCCCTCCTCCTCCCCCTCCTTCACTACAGACCCCTCCTACCATCACCACCACCACCTCCTCCAACACCACCAACCCCGACACCACGGCCCCCCAGCTCCTGCACCTCCTCCACAGCACCCTCCCATGCAGACATCACGGCCCCCGAACTCGGGCCTCTCCTCCTGGGGACACTCAGGTAACATACTGGCCCTTCACCTCCACCTCCACTCTCCACCAGCACCACCCAAACCACAACAACCACCAAATACATGTTGTTCAAACGTTTGAAATTCCCCAAGCATTAAAACATCAATTCACTGACGTATCTAATGTAACTTTATTTACTTAGTGACCGCAACACCTTTCATTACCTCTGTACTGGCTGAGGATGGACTGTGTCACTGTCAACGTTTTGTTAACAAAACTGATTTTCTGCATTGTGTTTTAAATTGCATTTCCTCCTCCTCCTCCTCCTCCTCCTCCTCCTCAGGAGCTGGACCGAGCCTCCAGCAGCAGTTTCTGGTTGTGTCTGACAGGCATCCGGCTGTCTCAGGTCAAAGCCTCCACAGCATCGCGTTGAGTTACGGCACTTTGCCCCGGGCTCCTCGCCGAGCGCCTCCTCCCTCCTCCTCCACCACCGCCTCCCTCACGAGACCCAGAGCCGGCTCCGGTCCTGCCCCCCCGCCGCCAGGTCCACAGAGTCTCTACGCCACCCTTTCCCACCCTCGCCGTTCTGCCAACACCACCACTAACGGTCACTACCGGCAGCCATCGCTGCCCAGTAATGTCAACGGATCCACCCGTTACGCTCCACACCACCTCAGGGGCCCGGGGGAGGCCCCCGCCCAGCCGCTCCGCCTGGACGTGCCCCCTGAGACCGACTGGCGTCGTGATGCCGACTACAGGACTGTCAGCTCCACCTGGGACCCCCGCGCCTCCCGCCACCACCAGCCCCTCCAGCGGACCGACTCCCACCAGCCTCCCCGGCCCCGCAGGGACCCCCAGCTCTGCTCCCTCTGCCAGCAACTTCCTGCTGAGCTCCCACGCCCCTACTGTCAGTCCTGTGGCGCATATGTGGCTCGATTCCGCCAGGTCAGCTGATCACGTCCAGGCCCGCCCCCCGAGAGTTCTGTTCCAAATATATCCATCAAGATGAAGATTGTTTTTTTTTGTATTTAAAATGTTTCTTTAAATCCAATGCTGCCCATAATCCTGTCATCACCTTGGTGGATATCTCACTTTGGAATAAAACTGGTTCTCTTGGTCTGCAGCATCATCTGGGGAAACAAACCGATCGTCACTAAGACCTTTTCACAACAGTCTCCGGTATAGTTTCTTCTCTCCTGTATCTGTTTCCCCCCCGAGAAGCAACTAATTCACACCAATTCAACCGTTATCCTCCATGTTTTGTTCCCGGCCCGTCTCGCCCAGTCCTACCTAGTCTGGACGCCCACCACAAGGCCACAAAATCAAACATGAATCACACAGACGGATTTCCTGTTTCCAATCTATGAATGTCTGCTGGATTTAAGCACATATTAGATTTGTAATCCAGAGAAAGCACCGTGATGCATACCAGGACCACGAGAAGAAGGCTGACTGATGATGATGATGATGATGATGAAGGACAGAACTGAAAGAACAGCAGTGTGATCATGAAGACATTGCTGCTAACATACTGTCTGTTAAAACTGATAACGGTTTGATCAAAATATGAGGAAAAACTTGCATCAATAATCAATAACTAGTTAGAGTTGTTAGTCTTCATCTGCTGGGTGTCAGGTTGATGATACACGTGAGCAGCATGTTTATTTAATGGTAAGAAGAAAAAACACCTGAGAGCAGTTGAGTTTTTTAGTTGAAAAAATAATGGTTTAATAATCCAAAACTATTTTGATAATTGATTAACCATTTAAGTTACTTTCCAAGTCAAAATACCAAAACAACTCGTCATTCCAGGTTCTAAAATGTGAGAGTTTGCTGCTTCTTTTGGTCTTACATGATAATAACTTAAATATCTTTTCTTTTGGCCAACCGGCCGTCCAGAACTACTTTTAATACTTATTAACTCATAATTTAGTGACTCTGAAATCTGCACTACACACTCTTCAAGTTATGTGGATCTCATTTCAGTTTCTATTTCAAATGTGCCAAAACATTTATTTTGAAAGGTTATAAGCATGTTGCAGATGTGGCATTACTTTTTTTTTTAACTGATTACATTTCTTTGCATTCATCACAAGAAAATCGTGATAAATGCTTCAGAACAAATAATTCCCAACATTCACTTTGACGAAGTGTTGAGTGTTTGTTGATTTCAGTTTATGCAGAGCTGCAACTTATAAAACACTTTCGTTATTGATTTAATTATTTTCCCAATTAATCGGTTAATTAGTTTAGTCTATAAAATCACAGAGGATGGAGAAAGCTGGCAGATATTCACATCAGTGGAGCTGGAACGAGGGGATTTTGTTGTGATAAAAATTACCAAAAAAAAACGATGACGCGATTATCAAATTGCTGCCACTTGGTTTTTCTGATTGATGTCGTGAAATTGTAGATACTCAGCTAATCATTTGAGCTTTAGTGACTCTGACACCTGGTGGGAGAATAACAGTTTGAGATAGTTCAGTTGAAGATCGATGTGTCTGTTTTCTGATCTTCGATGCAGCCGAACAGACGTTTAGTTTTAAATGAAGGACATTGAGGCACTAAAAGGAAGCGCTTGTGTCTCAGAATATAAATCTACTTATTACTCTATTTATTTTTGTAGGCTTGTCAGACTGAGTTGTGCATAGATGAAACTATTCTACCTGAATATACTCTATTACTATAGTCTAATTTTCTAAAGGTAGTTAGTCGCCTTGTTTGGGATGTGGAGCCTTCTTATACTGTACACAAGGCTGTTAGTGATTAATAACTAAAGCTTTTATTTTGACAGCTAATATTTAGCATGATGTTTTATTATAGCCTTGAGAGACTTTGGTGTACATTTACTGTCACAACAATATATGCAGATCTTTCTTAGCGCAGCAACTCAACTGCATTTAACCCTAAAAACTATTTAGTGCACTTCAGAAGTGTTGAAGATAGATTTATTTCATGTGCTTGTTGCTGGTTTCTGTCGACAGTCTCCCGTTGTTGAGGGAGATGCTCTGCGTTTACGTTCACGGGCTTGTTTTTGTACTGATGTCTTTATATCGGTTTAATAGATTCATGAAGGAACACCTTTAAACGAGAATGCTGTTTTAATAACTTCTGCAGAGCTGATATGTCCTACTGCCAAGAACTCAGAGGCTGCTCCAGCTCGTCCGGTGCTCCAGCTGAGCGGAAAATACACAGAAAGTGGAGTCAAACATTCATTGTGAATCATTTCACCTGAAGACATTGGTAGTTATAGTTTAAAAATAACAAAGAACTAAATATTAACTCAGTTATTCCTGATTTATTGATTCTCCATCGCTGAAGCCACAACGTCGCTCTGAACTCTCCTCTGTATTTAGACTGACAGGATGTCTACGTTACAGAATATACATTTTAATTGAATTGAATTAGAGTTCAGACCAGTCCTGAGTTCATAATGATAGTGATGAAGTTATTTTTTCACCATGTCAAAGTTGACGGGCTGTTTGTTTTTGCTTTGCCAGATTTTATTTTGTTGATTTTTGGTATATTTTTTATGCTTATTTTTCTACATTGTAGACTTAACAGAGATGATACGATGATTAAAATGTTTAAAGGAAAAGTGTCTGATTTATTTCAGGAGGAAATCATCAGCTGTTGAAGCTGCTGAGTCACAATTTACACATCAAACACCTGAAACTAATTATAATAATTAGAAAGCTATTTTCCAAACACAGCTTGGCAGCAGGTGCCTCAGTGTTTCCTCCACATGTTGAATCAGTGTTTATGGAAGAAGTATTCAGATGTTTTTACTTCAGTCAAAGTAGTTTTACCACAGCGTAGAAATACTCTGATACAAGTAAAAGTCCAAATCTTACCCCCAGACTTATGTTGGCATACTATCCCATGACCTTTTGACCTTTTTCATGACAAACTTTACAACGTACTATACATTATTTTCATTTCACTTTTTTTGACATAGTATACTACGTTTTTGCGACTTTTAACGTACTATACTATGTTTTTCGACATACTGTTCAATTACTTTTTACAACTTTTTCGACATGCTATACTGTGACTTTTGTACGACTTTTTTTTCAAACATGCTATACTATGGCTTTTTTCATATTTTACATTACTTTGTATCATGGACAATACAGCAACTTCTGTAGATAAAACATTTTTATTAAGTTACACACTGACAGTTTAGATAAGAATGTTCTATCATCTGACTTTTCTATAAACACATTCATGACTTTGTTTACACCAACAGACGGCTCAGCTGTTCCTTTATATAAATATATATATAACATATACTGCTCTGTGTTTTTACCTTACTATATTGGTACTTTACAAACATTACACATACAGGTGACTTTAGATACAAACGTCTTTATGTAAAATAAAAAAATTCCCTTAAAAGACAGACAATGTGATGACTTTTACAGACATGTTTAACTTTTCTCCTCCGCCTCAGAGAGAAACTGTCGGCAGCAGCTGATCTGTGGTCAGATGTGTTTCTGAAGATGAGCAGAGGAAGCTGAAGAATAATTAGGACTCAGGTTAAAGTGACACTGTAGGGTCAACAGCACGTGAGAGTCAAGTGTAACAGTAAGCAGACCAACCAGATAAATCAAACACTTCTGACTTATATTAAAGCGTTTTGTCATTGAGTTTTTGACATTAAGTAATGTCATTGTTTTGGGGCTTGAGTCAGGATGTGGTTAGCCTAGCTTAGGATAAACACTGCAAGCAGGGGCAAACACCGAGCCAGGCCAGCTGTTTTCTATGTGCTTCTAGTCTTTATGCAAAGATAAGCAAAAAAAACTGCCTGACTCCAGCTCTGTACTGAACACAAAGACACCGAAACAAACAGTTCGAAGCTTTGCTTGAAGTAAGTGGCAATGGGAGCGAGTCGGAAGACACAAACGAGGAAACTGAGAACATGCAGTTGAATCTCAGTTTAATTGTTTCTTTGAATTTCTTTCAGACCTTTCCTAGTTTGACAAGTTGGAGGTATGGCTATCAAGATTTCAGCCTGCAGATTCATCAGAGCTGAGTGGTGGTTTAAGGGTTGAGGGTGCTTTGGAATAAACCTCCACTAACTGGAATATGTTTGAATATGTTTTAACTCCCAGAGTCTCTGATCAGTGTCTTTCCTCCATGCATCAGATGGTCCGGTGGAGCAGCAGTATGGTGAACACATTGTCCTCTGACTTCGCCCATACTGCTCCCTTCAGTTCCAGCCTCACCTCTTCCCCCTCCCTAAGCGGCAGGAGGCCCACATCGGTGACCGGCCCAGCAACTGTCACCTCCCGGCGGTGTAGAGACACTGGAGTTCCGCCTGAGCCCCTCCTCAGGACCACGTGGGTGGGGCCAGGCCTCAGGTCCAAGGTGAGGACGAACAGGTAGATCCCGTTCAGCGGAGCTGCGAAGGTGCCGGTGTCGGAGTAAAACTGACCCCGGTTCAGTGATGCTTCAAACGCGATGACGCTGTTCGAGATGCTCAAAGGAGATCCAGCCACAAGCAGCAGGGAGTCTCCCGATAGGCTGGGCGGGACAGAAGCAACACCTGGAGAGGAAAGGAGGGTCAGGAGTCTGTACAAGGTGGTCTCTTGATGAACCACAAGCAAAAACAAGAGGGAAAACCTCACTGAAAAAGTAAGAGAGGTTTAGGTGGAGAAACCAGTCTACACTCACCTGAGGTCTCCCTCCTGCTCCGATGGCTTCCTCCTCTTCCTGATCCTCCTCTCTTCTTCTCTTTCTTTCCGTCTTTGTTCTTCACCAGCTGCCACAGTTTGTCGAGCTCCAGCGTGGCGTCTGATCCCACCAACACGTCGGCGTTGCTGAAGACGTTCTTGAACACCCTCAGATGTTCCTCCAGCCCCCTCTTCAGCCACATCACCTCCACCTGCAGTTTAGACTCCACGTCACCGGGCGGCGCCTCCTTCTCAGCTGAAGCGTTACAGGATTTCTCCTCTAGCCGGAGCACCTTCAGCCTCAGTTCCTCCACTGTTTTCTCCAGATTCCACAGATCACTGCCGTCTCCTCCGTGCTGCGGACGCCTCCCCTCGGGGTGCAGGAGGAGCTGGCGCTCACGGGCTGGAACTTTACCGCTGTTCACCCTCATGTTTCCAGGGAGCCAGTCGTCAGAGAGAAGATGGGATGAGGAGGAGGAGGGCTGGTCAGCAGATGGCAGCTCCTCTCTATCCCCTGGGTAGAAGAAGGAGAAATAAATGAGTCCTAATTAACAAAAAGAGCTGGAGATGGTGTTTGCGACGCCTAATAAAGGCAAAACATTCCTTTAATCTGCAGCCTTTGATTTTATTTCTCCAGGATGTATAGCGTTGCAGGGGAAGTTGAGAATTTTTGTTATCATTTTGGTTGTGGAGTTGTAGTTTCTCCCCGCCGCCACTAGATGCTGCTACAAAGCTGTATTTGACTCACAGCTCAGACTAATTTAACACAATACTCACATAATGTACATTAAAATATGGTTGTGAAGAGACTAAATAAATGTTTTTATTAAAATATATTTATTCATATTCCTCATGTATGTAAATGTTTACTGACATTTTTCTTCACTCTTGTTTTGTAATTATAGTGTTTGTTACATGTTGGGAATAAACTGAAAACGCTCTGTATGCAGACTACAAACATCGCTGTTGTATGCCTCCGCCAAACAGTCAACTTTCAGGTTACATTCGTGTCTGTCCAAAAATCACTTCATAATTTTATTTTATTAGACATTTGTGTGACTTTGTCATAACCAGCATATCAATTCTTGAGTTTTAGGATGTTTTGCGAGGTCACAGTGACTTTTGACCACTAAAATCGAATCAGTTCATAATTGAGTCCAAGTGGACGATCTAGTCTCCAATAAATATTAAATCTCTGATAAATATCTCCAATAAATATTAAATCCCATAAATATTAAATCTGATAAATATCGCCGATAAATATTAAATCCTTCAAAAATTATTATAATGTCTATTTGTGAATTTGGCATTCATTTGCATGAGTAATAATTAATTTCATGTTAGTATAAAACATTTGGGTTTTATCAATACTAACTGCAATGACAGCATAACAGTTATATTATAGGTACATACAGTATGGAGTTAGTGTTTAGTCTGGATTCAGGACACAGCGACTGTTTCCTCTCTGTTGCATGTAGGTTTGTTGACACGACTGTCAGGACAAAGACTGTTAGCTCTTGATTTGTGATGTGTTAATTAAAGCCTCGTATTAATTCAGCTGAACTGTAGAACTCATTTTTACATACTGTTGATTTTGTCATCCATCATTTTTAGTGTAGTTGTGTTCAACATACAGACATACATATATATACATATGTTTTCAAATCTAAATCAAACCATTCAATGATTTAGTTGTGGGAGCAAATCACTAAATTGAGTGAGCGATGTACCAAATCACAGTGGTGGAAGATGTACTCTGATCTTTTACAAAGTATAAGTAGTATTACTAAAGTGTAGAAATACTCTGTTACAAGTAAAAGTCCTGCATTCAAAATTTAACTTAAGTAAAAAGTAAAAAGCATTCGCTTCAAAATATATTTAGAGTACCAAAAGAAAAAAATACATATTATACAGATATTATATACACAATATTATTATATTGTAATTATTAACACATTCATGTGATGATCACTGTCATGTTGCATCTGGTAAAGGTGGACCTCATTTTAATCATTTTATATACTGCTGGGTAGCTTTATCGATAATAACACTTCTACTACATCTATTTGATAACTTGAGTTCCTGTGTAGAGTCAGATTAGGAATACAAAATATAATCAACTAATAAAATCTGATTTGTTAAGTACAAGTACCTCTAAATTGTACTTGATTAAACGTACCACCAAAATTAAACTCTTTGTAAGTTTAATAGCTGAAGTACAAACTAAAGCTTCCTCCGGGTGGTTCCTACCTGGCGTGTTGCCCAGCAGGGAGGTGATGCTCAGGTTGTGTCCTCTCAGTTTCTCCTTCAGGAGCCTCAGCTGCTCCTTCAGAGATGGGATGGAGTGGGCCTGCTGGTCCTGGACGGGCCACTCCAGGAACTCCAGCACCTCCTCCCCCAGCAGCAGCTCCAGCACGTCGCTGTGTCGGATGGCGTCCATCAGCAGAGACTTGAAGGAGCCGGACAGGTGTTGCATCTCCACCACCACCTTCCTGTCCACCTCCTTCAGGCCCGAGACCTCGGCCAGAGCGACCATCACCGAGCTGCTCAGCCGGGTCAGGCTGTGATCCAGAGTCTTGGTCCTGTTGTGCTCTGAGACCAGAGACTCCTTCACCTGCAGGATGAGGGAGAGATGCTTAATTTCAATTAGTATTATTCTAGTATTATTGTTTTTAATTAGACATTAAATATAACTAGACATATTTAAGTAATGAAAACAAGGTTATGCTCTGCTCTGTCTTTGATAGGGGTGTAAGAATTTTATTTTCATACCTGCTGGAGGCCATATTGGAGTGTCTCCACTGCCGGCTCCCAGTCGCCTGCTCCGCCCCACTGCCACGCCCCCCCTTCGCTTTCCTCGTCCAGGGCTAGTCTATTCTCATTGGCCAGCTCCGTCACATTAGCCACGCCCCTCTCCAGTCGAGCAATGGCGGCCTTTAGCGCCTTGCAGTCGCAGCCTGTGGAGGAGTTGTGCTTGTAGAAGGCTTTGTACAAATAGTCCATGCCCACATCCATTTCATGCAGCCGCTTGCCCTGGTGGCTGAGGTTCCCCGCCAGCTCGCCCACCCGCCCTAACACGACCTCCCTCGCCGCCTCCACCTCCAGCCCCGTCTCCATGAACTGGATCTGACTGGTCCTGGCCGTCCGGTTGATGTGCTTCTCCAGCTCCTTCAAGTCTCGCCTCAGCTGCTCGACATCCCCTGAGTTCACCTCCACGTCCTCCATCAGGCCGTCCACCTGCACATCAACATGTGATGAGGAACTTATTTATTTATCTAACTCAGCTTTTAAACCTTTTCCTCATTTCTTTAGTAGCTTGTTTCGTTGACTCAAGAAAATACAATTTGTATCTTGAGCACATAATTATTAAATAATATAATCCATCTAATTTGAGCGAAAAATTTATCTAAATCTGTTTTTCAGGATGTTGGGGGCCTGTAATGATCCCCAGAGCATGAATACTGGTGAGTTTTGCCCCCACTCCCTTGGTAGAATTTCCATGTATTTCCCTAATCCCCCTCCTGCTCTCCAGAGGATGAACCCTTTAGATAGCAATGATCCCAAGATTGTTTTCTCTAGCACCACCCTTAGGACAAACTTTACATTTTTAGATCCAGTGCTGGGAAAGCATCAGGGTGTTATTTGTTTGTGAAACACGTTATAATCGTGACCATGTTGAACACTGCGATCTGCTGGGGGGCGCTATTCAACAGGACTCTGCACTGATTGATCATGGCTGACAGTGACTGTGAACAGAATTATGGGTAACGTAGATCCAGAGGGATTCGACCCACCTTCACTGTGTTGTTGACCACCATGTTGTCCAGCCGCTCGACGGCCTCCCAGAGTGCCGCGGTGTATGAGGGCTGCATCGGCGGGTGAGGGGTCAGCGGGGAGGGAGGAGGGGGAAGATCCTCCAACTGATCCTCAGTGGTCTGATCCTGGTCCTGGTCCAGCTTCAGCTCAGTTAGTGTGGCATTCATGGCCTGCAGGCTGACCTGGGATCAGAGACAGCAGTTACATGGCTGTGATGGTGTTTAATCATCAATACCAGTTTTTCTCTTTCATATTTTGAGGTTTTCTTGTCTGCTAACCAGACAAAGATAAGACCTTTTAAACATTTAATCTGTTTTAATTTCTCTGGAAACATTTGATTAAAATTGGATGAAGTAAACAAAGAATTCATTGGTTAAAAAAGCGACAGGGAGATTAATAAATATGAAATGAAAATAATTAGAGAATAAAGAATCCTCATTAGAGAGCTGTCCCCGTTGTCCACCGACCTGCAACATCTTCTGGTGGTGTTTCAGCTTCATGTCGATGTCCGTCTTGAAGCTGGTGAGGTTGTAATGTAGCATTGCATGCTGGGAGTGCAGCCTGATCTCCATGTCTGTCCACTGGCTCTCCATCTGCCTCCGGACCTCCCTGACATGCTGAAACACCTTATCCAGTTTGGCATCTAGGCGCTCCTCTGCTGCATCATCGAGTTCCGGTCTGTCCGGGGGCCCTGACTGCATCTCCACCTCCAGCTGACTGCTCTTCAGCTGGGCCACGTCACGGGCCAGGTCCCCTACCTGCCGACTCAGGTGCTCCAGTGAGCGGTTGAAGCCCTCCAGGACCGGCTGCAGCTGGGACATGACCAGGGCCATCATGTGGGGGACGGGGAGGACGGCAGGAGCGTCTGGGTATGGAAGGGAGTCAGCATCCACCTCCTCAACTGGAAAAAAAAGGATTATATGACAATTTAAAAAAAAAATTCATTTGAGGATAAAAACAATCCACTGCTCACAAAAGTTTTTTCAGTTAACATACTTATGAACAAATATATATTATGATAAAATATTGAATCACAACAATGCTGAATTGCCATATTTTAATATTTAGAGAAATCACCAGAATCATGCATACAGTTAGCATGGTAGCATGCTATGTTATCGTTCAAACTCTTGGTGTCGTAATACAGTGAACAGCAGAGCATAATATTAGGATTCATCCTCTGAGAAAATATGAACCAGACCTCCGGATTTTTGGCTGAGCTAAAATAAAAATACAACAACGAAATGCTTTTCATGCATCCGCCCACACTCACAAAAACACAAAGCTAATCTTAACAAAACAGAACACACACACTGTCTGGTTTTTCATGGCTCTCTGGGGACGGGCAGTTGGTTGACTTTGCTATAAAATGGAACCAGTTTAGTTTCCAAACTGGAATATAAACACAGTATAACCATCCGCCTGGAAAATGCTCCAGCGGGGAAACACAAACGCCTAAAACGGCGCAGAGGCCTCTGAAAAACACTGATGTTGACACACAGAAGAGCTGTCGGAGATTCAGTCAAAAAATGACACAAGCTGAGTTTCCAGCAGGAGAGATGATCAGAGATAAGATGAGTTTTCACAGTTTATTTCTGTTGGTTCAGTAGAGACCGACAGAGTGAAGCCAGAACACACACTGACCCCAGGACGCTGCCGGTCCTCCAGCTGGACCTCATTCATCGGAGGTCTGAGACACCTCGGGGCTCCGTGGATCCATTTCATCCTTTGTGTTGTTGTTATTTCTGGAGTTTGAAACAAACCCAACTGTGCTGCTTACATTTCCTGCTATTTATCTGTATCCTGATGATGTTTGAATCCAGAGCACCATCAATCTCCTCCCAGTGGACGATCCACCAGATTTCAATCACATCTACTGTTTCTTGTTAACTGAGGAACTGGCAGGTAAAAGCATGAAATCCTTTTAATCTTTAGCGGCATTCTGCTCGGTATCCTCCTCTTTACAACCACCAGCAGACAATAACTGTGACCAAAGCGAATAAAACGGTATGTCACGTTATAAAAAAAACAAGTTAAAATTGTTTTCTTTTGTCTCAATAGACGTGTTTCCAGCATCTGGGGGACAGATAACACAATGGAGACGAAATGGATCTTACTATCAATATATGACATAGATAATATAGAAATAAGAAAAGAAACCAATGAAGATTTTTATTCTTACTTAAGTGAAGGATCTGAGTACGTCTTGAAACTACTGTGGAAAAGGCCTGAAACAACGCTCAGCACTTCAAAAAGAACACACACAGCATTTGATGGGTTCAAGAAAAATATTATACTGTATACAGCATATTATGGAGCCCACAGAGCCAAAGTTGTCCCCTTCTCGCTCAGAAGAGTGAGCGAAGAGAATCAGTATTCATGGATTCAGCAGAATCCCAGAAGTCCTTCTGCTTACATAAGATCCTAAAACAGCCTACGACAAGCTTTAACCAAAAAAAGAGAGATGCCACACATCTTTCACAAGGCCCTGATGTAGTTTCAGCATCATGCTTGCATCATAACATGACCCGCCATAGGCTACACATAAGACATCTTCCATAAGGCCCTGACACCGGTGCCAAGAACAGTGTCTTCAGATAAGTTCTGTAATTTGACTGCGCACACACACACAGTGTTGTTTCTCTGTCGATGAGTCAGTATTTGCGTATTAGACAGCATGGGGTACGTTTGATACTTTTTTAAAAGTGAGGATATTTATATTTTTCCAGTCTTCACTTTTTCAAAGGGCTGTTTGAGGGTTCAGACTTCACGTCAGGTTTAGGTTCAGTTTAGGGTGGGGGGTTCAGGAATGTATCAATGTATCATGGCAATGAGGGTCCCCACAGGTATAGAAATACAAACATGAGTGTGTGTTTGCCTCGGGTCACTGCTGTCACTCTCCTCTGGAGACACAGTCCAGACACAACCACCTTAAACACACACACACACGCTTTCATCACAACCTGTTTTCAATACAACAGACCAAACTCAACCACATGCTGCAGGGTCCTGAGAGGTCTAAGGTCACAGTACAGTGAGGCCACGCTGCGACAGGAAGTTCCAGGTCACCTCCAGTTGAAATCCAACACACCCCTGTCCCCTGTAGATAGTGTTTCTATCTAATGATTGTGTGATTTACGGACCCGGAGACAAGTCGACTTCCTGTCCGGACAAAACGTCGTCTGTTACACAACTGTGGTTCTGTTTTCTTCTTCTGACGTTTTGTTGTAAATGTCAAAATGAAAAAGGTAAGGCGACACTTTAATGAGACACGTGGGGAACAGAGACAACACAGCCGCCAACTGAGCACAGGACGAGAAAACTGAAGAGAATAGAAACCTCAGTATTTATCACCGGGTTAGTCCGCCTCATGTTTAAATGTATTTCTGCTACAATTTGTTGAAATAAAGATGGTTTGTTTGAAGAATAGCCTCCAAGCTGGATTGATATTGATCAGTCCTCGCCTGCAGATCTACAATAATCGAATTCCTGAGTAATATTTAAAAATAGGTTGTGTGACTTCAGACAGAAGTGATTTAAAAAAAAAAAAAAAAAAAAATTGTATTTGTTCAAATATTTTACTTTTACAGGAGAAAAGGATTTGAGGATGAAGAATTACTGATGAGTTTGCATTTTTGCCCACCAAAAAATCTGCAGCTCATTATCTTGGATCAAAACTTTTGTGTGATACACATATTTTTAGACTCGGTGTGAATTACACTTCCAGAGGATGTCATCATCTCTGATATCCATTGTGAATAAACATCCATAAATCTGCTTAGAAATCATAGATGTTTTTTCTTATAACTGCAGAACTTGCCTGAGAATCATGATGTTTTTAGGCTTTCTTCAGTATCAATGTAATCCAGCGATAGTTGTCTGTACATGGCTGCACCGTAAACAGGACCTGCTAACAGGTAATTTGGCATATTTGATATACTTTATATTTCAACACACACACATTTAAGTGCATGATTGTCCTCCAATAAACATACATGCAGGGTTTTCCAAACAGTCCTGCCTGTAAGGAAGGAAATCAATCTAAAAAACTGACGTAGGATTTGAAGGGACTGGTGGAGCTGCAGAATGTTCCTTTAAGGATGATGTAATGCTGGCCGGTGGGAGGTTAAAGGTCAGACAGAACTGAGCACTGTGGGAACCTGAGAGCGAGGCCGATCCCCAAACAAGCTCCACACAGGGCGGAGGAAGTGTGTGTGTGTGTGTGTGTGTATGATGTAATGTACATGCTGGTCTGGTGACACAGGAGGTGTAATATAGTGTCATCGTATAGTCCACACACACAATGTATGGGAGACAGAAGAAAGAGAGGATGTCCTGTGGAGGAAGTGTATGCGCCTCTCCAGTGTGTGTGTGCGCGAGTGTATGTGCATGTGTGGGTGTGTGTGTATAGTTACCGGAGGTGTCATTGCAGAGGAATGGAGCTCAGTGTGTGTGTGTGTTGTAAGTCCCTAACTTTAAAGATGTTACACGTCACAGTTTAAGAGTCACATTTGATCAAAACTCACCAGGAAGGTGGGGTTCCTGCTGCCCGTGGTGCTGATGGTGCTGGTGGGGTTGATGGGGTTGATGGGGGTGATGGGGGTGATGGTCATACGTGGTTTGGTGTGGTGTGGGATGGGGGGGGTTGGGGTTGCGGTGGTGGTCCGTATCCAGGGCCGGGTGTGTGGTGTTGTGCTGGTTGTCCTGGTAGCCGGTGTCATACAGCTCCTGGTGGTCGTTCTGTTCGCTGTTCGGGTCGCCGCGCTGCTGGTTGAGCCGCTGCTTGAGCTGCTGCTGCAAACCTGAAACACACACAAAGGTGGATAGATGAAGAAAAGAACATTCTGATTCTACTCCACCACATGTCAAAGGTAAATATTGACTAAATATAGAAATAGTTAGCATCTGCTTTGAGTGTGTTTAAGTGACAGTTTAAAGGTGATTCACACCTGACGACATCCTGTTCACACAGTCATCAGATATGAAACAAACCACCACAAGAAAGCTAGAAGTTTAATTTGTTTTGATGTCAAATACCTGAACTGCTTCACCAACGTGCACTACAGTTACAATAAATATTGGCCCATATATGTGGTCTGGCAGTCTTAAAACCTGCAGCTCAATAAATATTGAATCATTAAGGAGGTTTATGTTGAATATCACATCCTGACCATGAATAAAACTAAACACAACCAATGATAAACAAGTTATCATACAATATAATGAACATGAGTTCAGAGGCAGCGGTGGATGTCCACAAACAGGTCTGGTTTCCACAAACTCAAACTTGTCAAAACCATCACGTCTCCTGTGAAATCGAAACATCTACTGACGTTTCCCACAAGATGAACCCTCCTGATTCAATGAAATAATAAATTCAGTATTGACAACGACTTACTTCTTATAATCCTTTGTACTTACTGTATTTATTATTCATGTTTTTTCATCACAACAGCAAAACTTCATTAAACTGAAATTAACTGAGAGAGAGCGAGATCAACAGGAAGTCAGGCAGACGGCTAGAGTGAGGCAGAGGGGAAACATGCTGATGTATTTGGGGATTTCTGAGTTCATTGTTCAAACTTTCAGTCAGAGCGACAGCAGGAACAAGGACCTCCATAGCAGTGACCTGCAGACAGCGTGGAGGGCACAAATACGCCATGCTGCCTCTGCAACACTGGAGATGAAACAAAAAGAGGAGGAAGTCCTGCAGAGTCATCAAATCTGTTTCCTTCAGCATTTTCAGCTCATCAGCTGAGACGAAAAACAGTTTTCCTTCAGACAAAGTGAAGACGTTCCCTCGGGCAAAGCAGATTTTAAAGATGTCTATAATCAATAATTTGATACTATAATAACGATGAAACAACAATGTGCTGTGTGTTGTGTGAGGGCTGAAAGTATTTGGACTTTTATTTGGACTAATATCTCCAGCCTCATCTTTTGAGCCTCATCAGTGAATGTTTTGCAGCATTGATCCAAACTGAAATATCTCAACACCTTTTGGATCGATGGCCATGAAAGCATGTACAAATATGGAGTATGTTAACGTTCACATTAGTATCCTGGTCTTGATCAAATCCAGGATATAATGTTTATATGGAACACGAGACACTTGGTCATACAGGTGCATCTGAATTCCTCAACATCTCCACTGAACCACTTATCAACCACTTATTTCTGAGAATGAACACAGTTTGGTCTTAAAAGAGTCCACCACTGATAGATCATCACAATCCTATAACCAGTATTAGTATCTAAGTACATTTACTCAAGTCTTGTGGTAGTGATGAACCTCCAGAGAAGCTTCATATCAGCTCTAAGTGAACGTGAATACATTAAAGAAACCTTGAAAAATGCAAATTACATGCGGAGACGACCAAAATGCAAAATAGCAATTTCTTACTTTTCCGTTCAGCACTTATATTGTAACCGTCACTTCAACTTTTAGTATTTCAACTTCAAACATAAAATTGTTTTCTTTCTCATCTTCAATTTTAGTTTTTTACAGCCACAAAAAGCCATTTTGACTCAACATGTAAAGTTATTAAAATGTTTTAACTGCAAACTTCAGCAGCATGTTTCTGTACTCTCTCGACGTACAGGAGGTGGACACAATAACAGAAACACATCTATTGTGTGAACAGGTTGTAAAAGTTGATTGTGATGACTCACCTCTGAGGTGTTTATATTTTAAGGTGTTCCTGTTATTGTGTCCAATCTGTTTCTGCTGGGCTGCAGTTCTGTTGATAATTTAATTATGTTGACTTCAGCTCGCAGGAAGTCGGTTCAATCGGAGGCGTGGTGGGAGCGGACTGTACCATTGGAGGTGTGTGTGTGTGTGTGTGTGTGTGTGTGTGTGTGTGTGTGTGTGTG